TTGTGTGTGTTGGTTTTTTTTTTTTTTTGGGATAATTGAGGAGGGGAGGTGGGACGGCGGCAGGCGGAGGGGGGGGCACCGCAGGGGTGTCCTGGCGGCTCCGAAAAATTCACACTTGAAGATTTCTTGGTCGGCTCGGGACTGTGGTTACTTGAAATGAAGTTTTTTTCCGGGGCGGATCGAGGACCGGTAGATTTTTTTCCCATGTCTCAAGGCAATAGGATTAATGTGTATTAAACTGTAGATACTTCTAGGACAGTAAATTTATGCTGATAATTTTATTTTGTATAATTTTCCCTTTTTTCTTTTTTCCCCTCTTTGTGGGTTCCCTCCCCTCCCCCCCTTAACACCCTTTTCTTTTTCCCTTTCCCCCCAGTGTTTTGGTAAATTTATTTTTTAGGATGCCTAAAAATTGCAAGTTTGGATCCTCCCCCTTCCTTCCCCGGTTTTGGTTTTGTTTTTTGTTTTGTTGTTGTTTTTTTTTTTTGTTGTTGTTTGGTTTTGTTTTGTTGTTTGTTTTTTTTTTTTTTAATTTGTATTTTATTCTAAGTTACGGGGGAGCCCCGCTGGGCTCCTGCCGTCCCGCTTCGGTTTTTCCGGCCGCGATGCTTCGCCTCGGGCGGGGAACGGGGGGGCCGGGTTTCGGGGTTCCCCCCCGCCCCATCTCGACGCTCTCGGAATGAGGCACGGGAAGGAGAAGGAAGCCAGAATCCCTGAGGTGCCTCAATTGCTGATTTTTCCTTTTAATACTGGAGTATGCTTTGTGGGCTCTATAAGGCATATTTTTATTAAATGAAATCTTCTAATAAAAACGGTGCTATGGTGTTTTAACAAACTGTATCACGCTTCTGCCTGATTCCATCTCGCTGAGGTGCTACTAATGTATATATGAAACTAGGGAACCAAGAAAAAAAACAAAAAAAAACAACAAAAAAAAAGCAATGTCGTTGAGAAGGAAGTTTACTTTTCCGGAGCGACAGCTCGAAGCGTGCCGGGAGCCGGTTGGGTTTATGCAAACTGAAATCGGTGCCGCGTCGGAGGCGTCCCGCCGACCGGGCTCGTGGTGGAGCCGTTCCCCTCTGGTGCGGGGCCGGGGTGCTGGCAGGAGAGCCGTGTGCGGATGTGGTGCTTGGACGAGGTGCTCAGCTGCGGCGTTCGGGTGTGGTGCTCGGCCACGCGTCGTGGACATGGTGCTTGGCCAGGGTGTGCGAACATGGTGCTCAGCCATGGTGCTGGACTGCGGGGCTCAGACGTGCGTGGACATGGTGCTCGGGCACGGTGCTCGGACGTGGTGCGTGGAAACGGTGCTCAGGCACGGTGCTCGGCCACGCATTGTGGACATGGTGCTCAGGCGTGGTGCTCGGCCACACATCGTGGACGTGGTGCTCGGATGTGGTGCATGGACACGGTGCTCATCCAGGGTGTGTGAACATGGTGCTCGGCCACAGTGCTCGACCACAGTGCTTGGACATGGTGCATGGACATGGTGCTCGGCCACAGTGCTCGACCACGGTGCTTGGACATGATGCGTGGACATGGTGCTTGGGCACGGGGCTTGGGCCACGCATCATGGACATGGCGCTCGGGCATGGTGCTTGTACATGGTGAGTGGACATGGTGCCTGGGCACGGTGCTCGGCCACGCATCATGGACATGGCGCTCAGCCACAGTGCTCAACCACGGTGCTTGGACGTGGTGCGTGGACATGGTGCTCGGGCACGGTGCTCAACCGTGGTGCTTGGACATGGTGCGTGGACATGGTGCTCGGGCACGGTGCTTGGCCACGCATCATGGACATGGTGCTTGGGCATGGTGCTCAACCGTGGTGCGTGGACATGGTGCTCGGGCACGGTGCTCAACCGTGGTGCTTGGACATGGTGCGTGGACATGGTGCTCGGGCACGGTGCTTGGCCACGCATCATGGACATGGTGCTTGGGCATGGTGCTCAACCGTGGTGCGTGGACATGGTGCTCGGGCACGGTGCTCAACCGTGGTGCTTGGACATGGTGCGTGGACATGGTGCTCGGGCACGGTGCTTGGCCACGCATCATGGACATGGTGCTTGGGCACGGTGCTCAACCGTGGTGCTTGGACACGGTGCGTGGACATGGTGCTCGGGCACAGTGCTTGGCCATGCTTCATGGACATGGTGCTCGGGCACGGTGCTCAGATGTGGCGTGTGAACATGGTGCTTGGCCGCAGTGCTCGACCGTGGTGCTTGGGCATGGTGCTTGGGTACGGTGCTCTGCTGTGGTGCTTGGACACAGTGCATGGACATGGTGCTCGGGCACGGTGCTCGGCCATGCACTGTGGACATGGTGCTCGGTCATGGTGCTCGGATGTGGTGTGTGGACATGGTGCTCGGGCACAGTGCTTGGCCACGCACGATGGATGTGGTGCATGGAACATGGTGCTCGGCCACGATACGTGAACATGGTGCTCGGCCACAGCGTGCAGACACGGTGCTCAGCCAGGGTGTGTGAACATGGTGCTTGGACATGGTGCTCAGCATGGTTCCTGGACAGGGTGCTTGGGCAGGGTGCTCAGCCCGGTGCATGGGTGTGTTGTGCATGCACGGTGCACGTGCATGGTGCACAGGCACGGTGCAAGGGCATGGTATGTGGGTACGGTGCTCGGGCACTGTGCATGACCATGGTGCTTAGATGAGGTGGTCAGACACGGTGCACGGGCACGGTGCTTGAACAGGGCGCATGGGCACGGAGAGGGTGCTCAGGCACGGTGCAAGGGCATGGTGCATGGATGTGGTGCTTGGACACGGTGCTTGGGCATGCTCCAGAGATACCGTGCTCAGGCACGGTGCTTGCCCACCATGCACCAACACGGTGCTCGGGCACGGTGCTCGCCCACCATGCACGGATGTGGTGCTCGGGCACGGTGCTCGCCCACCATGCATGGATGCGGT